TCTATTACCCGGGCAGAGTTGAGGGCACTGTTGAAGGACTGCAGCTAGCTTGGGATGCTGGGTACCGTCACGTTATACTAGAGTTGGATTCTGAATGTGCTTGTCAGCTGCTTTGGACTTCCGACTTTAGTGAGCATCACCATGCAACCGTCCTGGATAGAGCTTAGGAGCTGCTTCATAGACAATGGGGCGTCTCAGTCAACCACATATACAGGGAAGGCAATAAGTGTGCGGATTATCTTGCGAGTCAGGGTCATACTGTTCCCTTGGGGGTTCATATGTTTCCATTAGCCGATCCTATGCTTTGTAAATGGATTATGTACGATTTTCAGGGGCTTTCTGAGTCTCGGGTGGTTTTGAATGAAAGGTAGGGTACAGTTGCATCCATTTATAAAAACAAAATTAGATAATTCATTCTAGGATGTTTAGATTTGGTGTGAGATTAACTTGTCCTTCTTCTTATTCAATTGTTGTTTCATAACATTGGTGTTTTTTATAGTATTAACGTTCCTTTAGCTTTATCATGTAAGTGTTTAATATTTTTATCATGATTTAGTTTTTTTATTTTTTTTATTTTGGGTTTTTTTGTTTTGTTTTCAGTGTACTTTTCAATTTTAGGTATGTAATTTAGTTTAATTTTTTATTTTAATATTAATGAAATTGTTCTTCTTTTTTTTCAATTGTTGTTTCATAACATTGGTGTTTTTTTATAGTATTGACGTTCCTTTAGCTTTATCAGGTAAGCATTTAATATTTTTATCATGATTTAGTTTTTTTATTTTGGGGTTTTTGTTTTGTTTTCAGTGTACTTTTCAATTTTAGGTCGGTAATTTAGTTTAATTTTATATTTTAATATTAATAATGTGACTAGTATATTATGTAATCATATTATGTATTGCAATAATGATTATGCGATTTGTTGCACTTAACCTCCAAGTCATATATAAGGGTTGAGAACAAATTGTACTTTCCTTAAAAGAAATCATAAAATAATTAGCCGCTAAAAGAGTGAACAGAGAAGAAGGAAGGAGAGAGAAGGGGGGGGGGCGAGGGGGGAAGTTCGTCGGAGGGAAGGGGGAGGGTGGTGCATCGTTCGTTGGCGGAGGCAACGACGACACTGACTAAGGATGGTATGGTTAGTAGTTGCATTTCACTCGAACGACTTTTCTTGTTTTTTTTTCTTTCTTATATATCTTACTCGTGGAATTTGTGGAATAGGATATGGATCCGAATCAGCTCCCGGTTGAATTGATGACATTTGTGAGCCATCAAGCACTCTTCATCAACAATGCCAACAAACTCAATAATCTGTTTGGAATACTTATATATGTGGAAGAGGAGAAGAAGAAATTGCTCTAATCGTTGGATGTAATGGAGTCCGTTCAGCATACTAAGAAAGGGAAGGGAGTGGCTGATGCTACCATTGATGAAGATGAATGGGTAGATGAGTTGACAGCCATTGAGGCTCGTCAGATGGAATTGAAAGAAGAATTCAAGATCCTCCATAAGCTAGTGAAACACATCGAAGAGATGGTGAACAATTCGATGAAGCTGGTTATTGAACCACTCATAGAGTAACTGGACAGCTTGTCGCAAAATCGCAAAGAAATGCTTCTCTTGCTATTCTCTCGCTTCAGGAGGTGCAAGGAGGGCATGTTGTTACTGATGCTCCTCCTCAGGGTGAGGAGCATGTTGATGGTCCTTCTTCCTTTTCAATTGTTTTATAACTTTAGTGTCTTTATAGTATTAACGTTTCTTGAGTTTTACCAGGTAAGTACTTAATATTTTTGTCATGGTTTAGTTTTTTATTATTGTGGGTTTTTTGTTTTATTTTTAGTGTACTTTTCAATTTTAGGTTTGTAATTCACTTTAGTTTATATTTTAATATTATACTGTAATTCGTATATTTTATCTTTTTTAAAATGGGTGTCACATTTATTAGTAATCATATTATGTATTGCAATAAGGGCTTGCGATTTGTTCCACTTATTCATTATGTATAATAAACTTTTTTGTTATATTTGGTAATGTTGTTTAAGCGTCCAGTGGTTCTTCTATCTCGTGTGGTAGAATTTTATATCCCCATATATGAGCTATTTAGTTTGTATTGTTTTGTAGTGGATCTCTCCTACGCTTTCACATTTGGATGCAAATTCGATGTGTATCACACTCAAATGGGGTGTTCATAGGGAAGTGATCTTCTCTTCTTCTCTATTTGAGTTAGCTTAATGTCCTTTTACTCCTCGGGGTTTTTACAAAGCCGCCCACCTCGTGGCAAATCAGCCTCTTTCATTGGGAGTCTGGTTGCATAAGGACTACCATTCTTTATTATTCTCTATATTGTAACTGTGGTGTTCGACCATGCCAAGGGGGGCTTATCTTGGTTTAAAAAAAAACAGAAGATAGATTGAGAAAGATAGAATTGTCAAAAAGGATTTGACTGGGAGGGTGGGGCCCACAACTAATAGTTGTAATATGGAAACTGATGGGAGGATGTATTTGTAAAGTCTAATATTGTAAAAAATATGCAATTTAAAAATAAAATGGAGTATCTAACAGTTTATTTTTCTACCTTTATCTGCAATGATAAATTTAATGGTACTATATTGTTGCCCACATAATGCTCCTCTTGCTATTCTCCTGCATGAGGAGGTGCATAGAGGACATGTTGTTGCGGATGCTCCTCCTCAAGGTCAGGAGCAGGCTAAGGTTCAGGGGGAGTTTTTATTGCACAAGTCTTTCCTGGTCAGCGGAGCAACGAGAGAACTCGTCGCCATGATGATTGTCGTGGACCTGCACCCACATATGCATATGCACATGCACGGCAATTGCTGTAGCGGGATACAGTCCTCCCTTTGACCCCCTTAGACAAGACTGATTCTTCCGGTAGTGATCATTCCTACGAGCAAGTAGGTTAGAGCATTTGCTCACCTCGAAAAACTAGGGCAGCTGCAAAGGCAGAATCTTTGGCTGGTGTGCTCATTGAATTAGCAGGACAACAAGGTGATGGTGGTGATCTGTAGGTGAGATTGTCCTAGTTATATCTAGTTGGAATAATCAAAGTGGTTTGGTCAAGATTTACTTGATGACTCTTTTGAATTTTCTACATAAGCGACAACCGACATTTATCAGCTATGTTGGCACTTTTCTCGGATTACTAGGGTTCTTCTGAATCATAGGAACAATGTTAATTCTAATGGTAGTTCTGTGGAATTGTGTCTTTGATTTCCTTGTGTCTTTGCCTATCCATCGTATCCATATCAGTCACAATAGTTCACACCTTTTTTTTATTAATTGTTTCATGATCAATGATTGTCTTCACTATTCGACTTATGAAATGCCACCAATACTGATGAATGATGATCCACCCTTTGCAAGTGCTGAATTGCATACTTTCCCTCTTGTACTCGATCAGGTTCCCAACAGTTGGATGATTGTTGAGAAATGGAAGATTTTTTGGAGGTTGAAGAGAGATCATGATGGGTTGGTGATAGATGATTGTGAATTGTTGATGAGAGGTGAGATATGTGAAGTTGTGAAGAGGTTTATGGATGGTGAGCTTAGTGAGGTTAAGGAAATGAGAAAGAGAGCCAAAGCTTGTTAGTGTTGTTGATGTGGATGAATATCTGTGAGCACAATGCAGTTGTTTTGTTTTTCACACATCATTACGAAGGATGTCATCTAAGGGGGGAAAAGGAACAAAGAAAGGCACAAATGCAAGGTAGTTGCTAGCTTTTGCGGAATGCATGTTCTACCAAGTTTTCTCATTTCAGCAGGAATTGCTCCATCGATGAATTTGAAATCAACGTAATGGTTAACCAGAAACCGATAACCTCATATTAGTACAATCACGTAGTTTAGGAGTTTGACTTAGGAGAAAAGTCTCAAGATTCAAAAGCAACCAAATTAGCAATTCCAAACAACTCAGTGTACACCTATTGCCAACAACTCTCCTCTCAAAGTCTCAAACACGGTAAAGAGTTAGAACGCGAAAATTCACCCCTTTGTGACCCACTTTACAGCAGATATAGCAAACCTCGCATTGTAGTAGTCTTTGTTTATTTGATGTTTGTGGATGATGGTGATCTTGTGGTGCTTGTGTTTAATGTCTTACTAGTTGGATGAAGACTTCTGATTATTCGTAATTTTATGTGTTTGAATTTGAATTATTAATGCACGATAAATGTTTTATTGTATTGATGTTATTTCTTATAATTATTATTTTATGTTAAAATACTTTAAATTATTTGTATAATTATATTTTAGTAATAAGAAGGAAACCATACAAAATTTCAAAATAACAAAAGAAAAACATCACATGTGAAGCTTGTTATTGGTTAGTGGTTAACTGCTAACCGAATGATAACACACAATTAACCATTAAATCTTCTTGGTTCAATTATCATTATACATTTTTGTTCAGTAGTTAACTAACCATCGTAGCAATTAGTAATTAACTGATCGAACCAATTAGCACCTCAAACTACCCAGAATTAGGGATGTTAATGAGTCGAGCTATTCGTGAGCGGCTCGGTCTCGAACTCGATAAAAGCTGTTTCTCGATTAAAAAAACTCTACCTTATTCGGCTCGTGAAGCTCGTAAACTAGCTCGATTAGGTGACTCGTTGAATACAACTCATGAACTATCTCGTTTTGAGCTTATGAGATATCCCAACATTGTGACTAGAGAGCCAACTCGACTACACCTTATGAGAAAATCAATCTATATTTTATGAGTTGGTTTGTTAATGATTCATATAATTATTAAATTGTATATATCACCTCATATGATCTTTAATACATTGAGTATATGTAAGCAAATACGTCTCATATATGACATAACATTAGGTAATCACATGCATCACATATGTCAAATAAATATTAGGTTATTTATATTATAAATTATCTTAGAGTTGAGCTTGAGCCGAACTTTCGATCTTAATGATGTGTCAAGATTTAATAAATGAGTTGACTCGTGTTCGACTCGGCTCGGCTCGTTTATAAACGTCTCATATATGACATAACATTAGGTAATCACATGCATCACATATGTCAAATAAATATTAGGTTATTTATATTATAAATTATCTTAGAGTTGAGCTCGAGCCAAACTTTCGATCTTAATGATGTGTCAAGATTTAATAAATGAGTTGACTCGTGTTCGACTCGGCTCGACTCGTTTATAAACGAGTCAATGAACAAGGCAAATCTCGGCTCGGCTCATCAAAGCCCTACCCATAAGACTAATTGCAGGCTCCGGTCCAAAATTAATAAACCCATTAGGACTCGGTTTGGGCGATCAAAAGTCGCTATCCTCTTCAACGGATCTGTGGGCTTGATCCATGCGGGTAAAGATCCGAGGAGGCCCATGAGAGAAACAAAAATTGCAAGAAACTAACCAGCTACCACCGTCCAGCCATAGATGTCTCTCATTTCTCCGGAATCCAATTTCATCGCCGCAGCCCGCAGTCATGAACTCCGAAATTCCCCTCCCTTCAGAAACCAGCAGCAGAAGCCGCCGCCGGTGCCACGTGGTGGCTGTTCCTTACCCAGGAAGAGGCCACATCAACCCCATGCTTAACCTCTGCAAGCTTCTCTGTTCCAAGAATCCCAACCTTCTCGTCACTTTCGTCATCACTGAAGAATGGCTGCGCATCCTTTCCGGCGGCGACGGCAACGGCACAACTATTCACAGCAATATCCGGCTAGCTTCCATCCCAAATGTAATCCCATCGGAGCTCATCAGAGGATCCGACTTCCCCGCCTTCTACGATGCTGTAATGACCAAGATGGAATCTCCCTTTGACCAACTGCTCGATCGCCTCTCCGACCCTCCCGTCACCGTCATGATTTCCGACACCGAGCTCCGTTGGGCCGTCCGAATCAGCAATCGGAGGAATATCCCGGTGGCCACGCTGTGTACTGTCCCTGCCAGAGTGTTCTCCCTGTTCCATCGCTTCGCCTGCGTGCAGAATCGCGACCAATTATTGGGTAATTTGTTCTTAATTCAAACTGGACAAATTTCACAAAATTTTGAACTCTGTTTCTTCGTCTCTGATTCCCCTCTCTTCATTTTGTGATAGATGACGGAAACGAGCATCTTCATGATCATTCAATTGTTGCAATTTCTCCGCCGGAGGTAGCAGATCTCCGAGCAATATTCCGTGGGGATGACCGGAAAATCATGAATTTTACTCTAGAATGCATCTCATGGGTGCCAAAAGCTCAGTATCTACTGGTGAACTCTGTCCATGAGCTTGAACCTGAAGTCTTCAACTCCCTGAGATCGGAATTTCGGTGCCCAGTTTACCCAATTGGCCCAGCAATTCCTTTCTCTCAACTCGACAACGATACAGTTACTAAACCTGCTGCTGATTATTTCCAATGGTTAGATTCCCACCCTGAAGGTTCAGTCTTGTATGTCTCATTAGGGAGCTTCCTGTCCGTTTCAAAGCGGCAAATGGAGGAAATTGTAGCGGGTCTCAGGGAAAGCTCTGTTCCATTCTTGTGGGTTGCTCGCGGAGAGAGTGATAGGTTACAAGAAAGCTTTGGTGGTGGTGAGAAAGGGATGGTGGTGGCATGGTGCGACCAGCTGAAGGTGCTGAACCATGGTTCAGTGGGAGGGTTTTGGACTCATTGCGGCTGGAATTCGACCTTGGAAGCTGTTTATGGGGGTGTTCCGATGCTTACTTTCCCTCTTATATTCGATCAGGTTCCCAACAGTAGGGTGATTGTTGAGAAATGGAGAATTGGGTGGAGGTTGAAGAGAGATCCTGGTGGGTTGGGAATAGATGATGGTGAGTTAGTGACGAGAGGTGAGATATGTGAAGTTGTTAAGAGGTTTATGGATGGAGAGAATAGTGAGGTTAGGGAAATGAGAAAGAGGGCCAAAGAGCTGGGGCAGATATGCAGGCAAGCAATTGCAGAAGGTGGACCTTCTGATAGAAACCTCGATGACTTCATCTCAGACGTTTCCAAAGCTTGTTAGTGTTGTTGATGTTGATGAATATCTGTAAGCAACAGTACAGGCGTTTTTTTTTCACACATCACGAGGAAGGATGATAACATAAAATAAAGGATAAAGAACTAAAGATCATAAAAGCAAGAAAGGCACAAAGCAAGGTAGCAGGTGGCTAGCTCCACAAGCCACTTGACCATTTTTCTAGCATGCTTTGCCCTTTTGTGAGGTACATATTCTAATCTTGAGAAAATAAGGAGAACCCTTTTCTAGTGTTCTACCAAGTTCTCTCATTTTCAGCAGAAATTGCTCTCCTGATATGGAACCGAAGGAAGTATGCGATCATCTGGTGGTGATGCCGTTCCCAGGGAGAGGGCACATCAACCCCATGATGAACTTCTACAAGTTGCTTGCTTCCAGATGAAGAAATTTCCTTATCACCTTTGTGATCACAGAGGAGTGGCTTCGCTGCATAAGTTCAGAACCAAAGCTGCATAACCTCAGAACCAAAGCCTGAGATAGTTCAGTTCAAAATCACAGCCAACGTAATTCCACCAGAACGCCTGAAAGCAATAGACTTTCCAGGATTCTATGAAGCTGTGATGACGGAGATGGAATCCCCATTTGAACAGCTCCTTGATCAGCTTCAACCTCCGGTGACTGCTATCATCGGTGACATTGAAGTCAGATGGGCTATAGCCTATAGGAGTTGGAGACCGAAGGAATATTCCGGTGGCAGCTTTCTGGACGATGTCAGCTTCCTTCTTTTCCATGTTGTATCATCTGGATGTTGCTCCAAAAAGCCTGAGTTCACCGCCAAAGGATCTTTTAGGTATGGGGTGTCTTTTGTTATAATGCTCTGATCTAAACTTGTGAGTGATTTGGTTTTTCTCTTTGTTAATGTAGAATTGTAGATCGTATGGATTCCATTCCTGGGGTTTCTACTTCATAAGTTTCTGAACTTAAAAACGTTGTTCCAGAAGAATAATCTCAGAGCTGGAACTTGCCTTGGAATGCATTTTCCAGGTGTCAAAAGCACAGTATCTCCTCTTTACTTCCATCTATGAACTCGAAATCCAAGCCATGGATTCCTTAAAACAATCTTTCACATTTCCAGTCTATCCCATCGGCCCAACGATTCCCTACTTGGAACTATGACGGAGTTCCTCCAGTGTCAACTACATGGAGTGGCTTGACAACCAACCAAAAGCCTCTGTACTATATATCTCATTGGGGAGTTTCTCTCAGTTTCAAGCACTCAAATAGATGAAATCCTCGGCGGCCTTGAAGCTGCTGGCATTCGCTTCCTGTGGATAGCTCGTGCAGAAGCTTTGCGGCTGAACCTAACTGGTGAATGCACGAAGGGGATCGTTTTGCCATGTTGTGATCAGTTGAAGTTGAAGGTATTGAGCCATTCTTCAGTAGGAGGGTTTTGGAGTCACTGCAGTGGGAATTCGACTCTGGAAGCATCTTTTGCTGGGGTTCCCATGTTGACAGCAAGCAGATTGTTGAAGATTGGGGGATTGGGTGTGAGGTCGGCATACACCTGAAGCAAGAAACCAAGATAAGTAGAGCAGAGATTGCTCGAATTGTGGAGCAGTTCATGGATAGTGGAAGCAAAGTAGGCCAACGAATGAGGACGAGAGCAAGCGAGCTTGGAGATATATGCAATTCAGCTGTTGCAGAGGGCGGATCGTCAGTAACTAACCTCGATGCATTTATTGCTGGCATTTCACATCCGCCGTAGCTCCTTTCCGTTTCAATGCTTGCAAGTTTGTGCTGCCGCTAGATCAATGTTTCAAGATGCAGAATCTGAGAGAATAACCTACAGACGTTTCTTTTTGTAACTATTCTTCTGTTCTTGGCAGTTTAGCTAAAGGTCAACACCAAGAGGCACTAGAAGTTCCTGAACTGACCTTAACTGGTTCTTAATTCCTCGAGCTATGCACAGCGAAACATCTTTCCTATCACCAACTTCTGCAGACTACTCGTTTCGAGGCTAGTTACTATCATTCGCCATCAATGTTCCTGATCGGCGACTCAAAATTATTGCTAGAGTACTAATAGCAGGAGCAATCAAAGTAAAGTAGATGTGGGCTAGAGGGAAACGGATGCCAGTGGGATGCATTCTCAGGGACATTTCATCGAGCATACGTTAGGCATAATCTTCTATGAAATCAAGACACACAACGCTGATACAAGAAGATAATTTCCAACTATGTTTCCTCAGGGGCATTTCATCGAGCATATGTTAGGCATAGTCTTCTCCAAGGAATCCGGACACAGTTCACACGAACAAATCACATAACAAGAGAAATTTTCTAAACTGATCATGATTACAACGATTCACATAACTGAGTCTCAGGCCATCAGATTTTTCATTCACAAAACACTAGAACGTCAATTTAAGATCAGAAATTACCACTATTACAAACAAATATCAGGGTTGCACGATCAGTTTTCCTTCCTCGCCGGGTCGGCGGTTCCTTCGATCGCCGACTGACTCTGCTGCCGATCGCCCTTGAGCGAATCCACGAACAGAGATCCCAGCACGCTAACGATACAGCACCCCTAAACAGGCCGAAAACCAAAGAAGAAACAGAAGAGTGAGTTATAAAAAGTGGAAGATGAAAAAGAGGGCATTCTGCCATTTGGTGAGAAACCAGAGAGATGATCAGTTCTTACCAATATAACCAGGCACTTCACGGCGAACGAAACCTGACTCCTGCAAGTACCGTTGATTACGTAGCCAAACAACATCACAGAAAAAATATTGACAAAACTCAACACGATTTTCTTCACAACCGTTGCCATAATCGTCGCTATAGCTGCCTGCAAACGAGAATCCCTCTCCCGCCCTCTCTCTCTCGCGCGACGAAGACAAAGCCGGAAAATTCTTGGAGACTCGGTTTCGGCCGGGAGAGCAATCGGAACGCCTTTTGGGCTGCAATGTACAAGTTCAGTGAGACTGCTTTATTGGGCTAGGCCCAAACTTGACTTCGGATGGTTGACAAATATGCTGGTCTAATGCGTGATGTAACTTGCTCTGCCTCTCTAAGTCTTAATTGGTTTCTCGTTATTGTTATTTTTATATATAGGGAATGCTAATATGTACTGAGGTTTCATGTTAAATAATAATATAGGCAAATTGAGCTCGTATACAGAAAATTAACATATATCATTCGTACTTTGATTTTATTACTAGTAAGGAAGCCCGCGCTTCGCGGCGGGGAGGTTATATTGGGAAAATGTAGAGTTTTTAGTGGAAATTTGGAGATTTTTGTGCACCTTAATAGTTTTTATGTGCATATCAGATACACAAACTTATTAAATATTGCAAGGCGGGTGTTACCATATAATGGAGCAAGAGACATTGGTTGCTGTTAGATTTATTGATTGGGAAAGTACAGCTTAGATATTTTGCTGTTTTGCATTGGATGTGGTTTAGAAGAGTGCTATATGGTGATGGTGGGGTAAGTGAAAGGTACCTAACCGCTACTTGAAATTTGTGGAGATATTTACATTTCCCCCTTGAAACTTCAAATAGCAGTACAAAAGGAGTATTAGTTAAATAGGCAGGAGGGTCGAAAAGCATAATTGCATGTCATGCAAGCACTCACAACAGCAGAGGTAATATGGTATATAGTTGATGATCAGAGTTTTGCTTATTATTTTTTTTCCCGGATAGATACAGGAAAAGATTTATGGTTGTCAACATCTTAGCACAATTACTTTTTTCACAGGTAGAGACTGTTTTGATGAGTCTATTGCTGAGGCTGGCTGTGGTCGACTGCAGAAAGGATGGTAAACTCTAGAGGGTTTCAGGCAAATATCCAGGTTTAGGAAGCTGAACATGCAACGAAAACCAAAGTCCATTCATGGCCACATTTTTTGGAGGGAAATATCCATGGTGTTGGGGGTGGCGCACTAATAGTTCGTCATCTGTAACCCCAAGCAAATATTCAGCGGTCTTTCCAAGTATGATAAAGTACGCCGAACCAGTAGTGTCTCTGACAGTCAAATGGACTTTGTAGCTGGAAAAATGTATCAAAAATTCAGAGTTCCGTTGTTCATGGGTATTGTAATGGGAAAAAATGCTGGATGCTAAACTAAGCAAATTTGGGTTTCTTGAGGTATCAACTGGCCATGTTCATCACACCAAAAATCATTAGTGCCAGGAAGCTACCTAGTTGTCTTAAAACAAAAGGCACATCCTAAGTAAAACCACGGTCGTGAAGACTCTGCGGGGAGGGTTTGTGTTAAGCAACGGTACTGCGTAGCCTGCAGGGAAATAAAATAGGTGAGCAAAGTTAGTTAGGCAGGCAAGCACTTTGTTGGTTTAAGGGAAAAAGGGCCTGTAAAAACGGTACCAGGAAGTGGTCAAGCAAGCAGATTAAGGCATCAGTTATAAGGAGGACAATGTTTGCTAATTTAAGCAAAGCCAGACAATCTGACAAAAAAAGGGAATGCTACATGACATGATTGTGAAACCAAGCGGAATTCAGGTAATCGATTGTTGTAAAGTGAAGAGCCTTGTTGTTCAACATGGTCGTGTATGGCGATGCCACGTCCTGATAACTTCATGGCGACCAACTCGTTTGAGGTGTAGAGGTCGAGTACGCACCTCAAACGAAATTCTTGGAATAATGCGGCTGCTGCATCGTGGTTGAGGAGAAAGTAGTAGGAGTTTGTCACGCCTTGTGCCACGATGAAAATGTAAAAGGTGTGAACAAAAGTATAAAAACTTCAGCATAGCAAGAAGTTGTACTTCAAGAGTTGTTGGATTTCCAGTTATTTAACTCAAGAATAAATGTATCAATCTAATCAAAGAACCTACCGTTGGTTTCTAGTTATGGCTACCTGATCTTTCCGTTGAACTGGAGCTTCTCCTTCAGACTGGTTAGTATCCAGTTTCAGCAACTGCCACACCAGTAGTTCTGTTGAGACAACAAATTCATCTTCTGCAACTTTTGTTCCACCATTGATAGCAACTTCAATTGCAGACACCCATTTATAAACATAAACAAAAAGGGCGGGTATCTCAGGCAAAAAACTACATGAAACCTAATACATCTAACAATAAGTCAATTGAACTTATTAGACCGACTCTCCTGCCAGGTTTACTTAACTTTTTTCATGTATGCAGAGCATTTGTCCTGTAGCACACCATCAACCTAACCAAGTTCTTCATTCAAATTAGCCGTTGCAGGCTTGCAGCACCTGTTCGAATCCTTGTGACACAGCAGGAAAACAATCAGAACTGACCCCAAACAAATATTCACCTGTTTGAATGATTTAAAGCGGATTGTTTGATGGCACAAAAGGTGTTGGGTAAATGGCTATATTGAGAATTACTGAACTATAAAAACTCAAAGCAAAATAAAATAAGTGACTGCTACAGACATAAAAAGTATCCAATTAACCCAATGGAACAATGAATATGCTAACTGGCATTCAAATGAAAGTCAGGCTCTTAAATTTTGACTAAGTTCAGTATTGAATATTGATACATGACCAGTTTAAATGAAAGCAAGACAAATCAAGATTATGAAGCACTATAGCGGCTGACCTAACCTTTCCTACTGATTTGAAGAGACTTCAGAATTCTAGTGTCTTTTCCTAATCCACCTTCCCTTGAAACTCCAAGAGCTCAACCTTCTTTTATGTGGCGGTAGGATTCCAGCAAGGATTAAACCAACCACACATACAGAGGTTGTAAGAAGACTGCTGGAACGTGACATGAATTAAAAGGAACTTAATTAGTCAAACTGAGAGGTCCCGAGGCAAAAATATATGTAGGCTATAGTCCTTACCTCTTTGCATAAATCTATAACGTCAGTGAATGACACCAACCTGCTGAAGTTTTCCTTAACCAAGACATGATGGCAAAACATATGTACTTGTATTATTCCTGAGTTGTAGGCATGATTGGATTAGTGAGCTCAATCTTTATTCTAAAAGCATAATATGAGTAATAGATATGTGGTTAGTAAAACTATTGTTCATCTTGTATTATTACCGAATTGCAGGCATGATCGGATTATGATTTCGATCCTTGTTCTAACAACATAATATGAGCATTAGATATGTGGTAACTAAAGTTGTTCATTTAGGATGTAGAACATGTTGTAATGAAGCATATCGACACTCCTAAGAACCCAACTGACACATCAAAACCAACGAAGCTCGATAAAATCACACTGATAGTGCTATAGATTACCACACAATTAATGTCCACCTGAATTCTCCAACATTCACGCATCTGTCTACAAACCTAAATAGATTTCTAGGAAGGCTCATACAATGGAGCTTACAACAGCAACCATAAAGGCAACAAAACTTGCAAACAGTGATGGCCACCAGACTAATGTATCGAGCAAGATTTGACCTTTCAGTTTTTTTACTGTAATACTAACTACAAAAGATTATGGATGAAATTAGATAAAACATTAGTCATCTTTAATATCTGTAAAAGGTTTGAGAAAGGGTAAAAAAAGGTTAAGTTACATGGTCCATCTTAAAACCAAAATGGGAACGGAATAACGAAGTCAAAGTGTAAACTCTGGTTACCTTGAGCTGGGTTTCGGAGTGTGAGACTAAAGCCTTAAAAATGCCTGGAAGGTGCTATAGAAGGTTAAAAAGCACCAATTGCAGGTCTTCACCTCGATCCCAATAACATGATTTGTCTGTTATGGTTTCCTTCTTTGCTGAAACCCAAACTTGTATTGCTTATCTGTTTGAAAAGCAATCAAAACCTCAATGCTAAGAAGTTTCAAAATGAATCAAATCATATCTAAACAACCATTGCAAGGAAGTACCTTGTAAAAAAAGGATTAAGCTGGAACCAGTGGGTGAAGTCTTTCAAAATGTGTTGTTTAGAAGGTAAGCACCCAAACTGAGTAAGCTAAACCTGCGAATCATTGAGCAATTAAACAGTTAAAGCATGGACACAGGAAAAAGGATATAGGTTGAATGTGCAAAGCGGTAAAAGAACGTAATGTTTACAACAAAATTTCATATGTCAAACACTTCTAGATTTGCTCTATACATAAAGCTCTCACTATACCAATGTTATGATTTGCAAGTTCATTGGCAGTAAAGATGTAACAATCAGCCTTCCACCACTATCTAAATGTAATCCTAAACATTTTATTAATTACAAAGCAACCCAAAGATGGTACATCTATAGATCGATTAAATCTACTAATTGCAGTAAATTTTGTATTGAGATTGTGACCAAGAATTTTCGGTTACCTCAGCATGAAGATTGAAATCTCTTTGGAAGTGTTGTGACCTGTCCACGCCTCTAGATTTTGACCTTCTAAGCAGGATCCTCGCTTTAGAGTCTGAACTGATAACAGTTGTGTGAGGCTTCCCCGCATACCACTATTGGTGAAAGAAAGGAACTCCTTTCAGATTATGCACAAATGACTATCATCTCTGACGGATTACTTGTCACAGCTTGATCAAGATGTTGAGTATTTCTCCAGTAACATAGTCACTGCTATAAGTTAGTCATGGTGGCCAATGGCTGCGTCAAAGCATCCTCACCAGTCAATCGCTTCTTGAATCCAGACTCAATTGAAAGAGAAGCACCATCTAATTCATACTACTAATCGACTGCAAAAGAAGATATTATCAATGAACAAAATTTTAAAAAATACCTAGCACATTGAGCAAAAGATTGGACGAAATTGCACCCTAAAAGTCCAGAATGAGATCAATAGGTCAACTCTAAAGCAAAGCAAGACAAAATTGAACAACCATAAATTTGATGACACTCAGCAAGAACATTAAGCAAGAGCAAGATATCAAAACACATAATATGTTTAAAAACTAAAAGGAAATAAAATTAAAAAGCCACCTAGAACATTTCCTACCTTTGCCAGCCAGCTACGTTGGTGTTGTCGTTGCTGACAAGCTTCGGGACAGCCTACATCGATTTTTTTTTCTTCTTCCCTTTGCTAAAATCAAATTAAAGACAAAAACATATCAGAACCGGATCAAGGAAAGCAAGACCCAGAACCCAAATCCAAAAAGAAGCTTACCCAGAGACCAGTGGCTAGCCCTCATCCCCTCTGCTGCATTCAGTAATATACACTGGTGAACGTTCCTCCCTTATCCTAACTCTTGACCGAACTTGAAAATCCAAAAAGAAAATCTGATTAGATTGCAGAACCCAACGACTGGAAAATCGAAACATACCAAAACCGAAAAGGGGAAAAAATCGACAAAAAAGAAGTCACCGAAAAGAAATATATGGTTTGCATTCGATAAAAGTAAGGATCAACATATGAGTTTCTTCATCAGGTTGGCAAAATTTAAATAATAGGCTAATGAAGAAAATTAATGTTCAAACTAAAAAAATGCTTAACCTCAGCAAATAAACCATATTTAAGAAAGGAAATACAAAACTTCATCAAGAACAAAGACTTCTCCCATTTTCAAATGCGGAGAAAGACTGAAAGAGCATATAACAGTAAAGAGCATAAACAGAAAATCATGTTCTTGTTGTTGATTATTTATACCATCTCAATATTTCCTTATAAAGGAAGCAACTAACTGCCAAGGATGAGAAATGGCTCTTGCATTTTCAAATGCGGAGCAAGACTGAAAGAGCATATAACAGTAAAGACCATAAACGGAAAATTATGTTCTTGTTGTTGATTAATTATACCATCTCAATATTTCCTTACTAAAGGAAGCAACTAACTGCCGAGGATGAGAAAGGGCTCTTGCATTTGCCTATATTGGATCCTGATGGCTTGATTCTGAACAATGTTTCTCATTGAAGCTAGCAAGCATGTGATTTACAACTGATGGTCAAACAATGGACAAACTTGGCCGAAACTCTGGCTCCACACCTTTTAAGAGCTCATCACACACTTATAACCCACATTCCATAAAATTGTAAACTCCAAGGGTCCTCTAATTATGCATTAATTGCAACTTATTCATCAACCCTTTTTTACTTTAATATCAAAGTTCCATATTTCTCTCATCAAGTAATAGCAAACAAATATTTCTATCAAAGCATCCAACGATCATTTTCACAACCAGAAAAATCCAATCTTCACTCAAAACAATTACAAATGCAGCAGCCATGTAACATCATTGAGGTAGCTAAACCGATCCTAGGATATTTTCATGAATCAACACCAATCCAGAACATAGCATGGCAGGTGGAAAGTTTGCAATATAATTACATTGCCATATAAATAGGAAGAACCATTCCAGGCACTGACTAATTAAGAAGGGCACAACTAAAAGCTGAAAGTGAATAGATTGGCAGCTGCCAAAGTTAGAAATCCATTGTTTTTTCAATAGGTCCTACAAAAAAGCAGCTCAAAATGTACATAATAGAACTACACAGTAACTAATGGTACCTGAACAACAAACCCACAGTTGTGACTACATCAGAATTCTTCATTTCATCTCGGCCTCTCTGTATGGCTGGTTGCATCCTGCAAGTGACAATCGAGATGAGACGGTAACAAAAGCATATAACACCCTCTTATGCGTTTTTTTAATTCTCATTTTAAGACCATATAAATACCCAAGCAAAGATATTAATGAATAACCCAATGTAAAGAGAGAGAGAGAGCTGCAAAAACTCTGAACTTGATAAAGAAAGCAGGAAAACTTATATAACAATAAAAATGTCTCGTTATGGGAGCTGACCTGACACCAACACCACCACAACAAAAACAAAAGGGAAACTTAAGCAACAATATGATTCAGTTACTGGCAAGAAGCAGAAACAACAATGTTACGCATGTAGCTCACCTCTCCAGAGATCAACACAGAGAAAGAGAAAAACATCTAATCACTGCCAATTTGATACTGATAAGATTCTAAGCAAAAAACAGTAACCATATTATAAAATACATAACCAGGCAAGTAAACAGAGTTTTCTTGAATAGAGATGCAAAGCTCCCTTTCATTCAGCGTGCAACAAAACCTTTTCAGTTATTTGGTTGTATGAGCAAAAAAATTTGTTTCCTACAGACGCACAAAATGGGAATAAATCTACTAAAAAGTGTTTGTCTATTTATATAGCAGTATAAGAGCAACAAAACACATTCATGCCAGCAAGTTCACTATTAGAAGAATGCATATTCCTCTTGCAAAAGTCATCAAGTTGCTGCCAAAAGAATAGAAAGAAACGAAGAAAGCCACAAGCCTACCACTGCCACTCATGCTCGTTGGTGTCATTTGAGCTTTAATCAAAAGCGATATCATATCTTGTCAGGCTGTAATGTTTTGGCGGATCTGGTTGCAAAATCCTGGGTGAACTGGAAAACGAATAACAAGAAGTTGTACTTAAAGAGCTGCTAGGTTTTCAGTTATGGAACTCGAGAATAAATGCAGCAGTCTTATCAAAGAACCTAATGCTGGTTTCTAGTTATGCATACTTGATCCTTCCATTGAACCCCAGCTTTCGTTTAGCCTCGATAGTATCCAATTTTAGCAACTGCCTCATTAGTAGTTCTAACTTGATCAAAAATTTTCATTCAAATTAGCCGATGTAACACCTGTTAGAATACTTGTGACCCGTTATGAAAACAATTAGAACTAAACTGAACAATATGATTTATGGAAATATAAATAGTTCCACAGATGGTCTATCGTAGTAACGTTTACGTGATCATGAACTTGCCTGCATGGTTTTGTCCTTTTTCTATGACCATCCAAATTCAGTAGATGAATGACCCATCCACCTGGCCAAATCATAGGCCCTTGTTAAGCACACCTGCAATTCAGCAGAACAACGGTTATAATCATGAGGCAAGTAAACTTTCCCGACAAACCCTGGCTAGATAAACTCTCATCATACCATTATACCTATCTTATCATAGTGCCTGGCATCAGACCAGCCAAACCTTGATTGAACCTGAGCTCCTCATCTACATTTGTAATATGCAGCTTCACTTCGCTGTCATTACCATAGCATAGATTCAGAGGTCCAACCCCACAGTAAAAGGGAACTACATGTAAACTTAATAAGAGAATGTACAACAACACTACCAATCAAATGTTTCTTTCCTAATTCTATGTGTACTGTGGCAAAAGTTGCTCTTCTGAGTAGCCAGTATACCTTCACGCGTCTTGATCCACTGCCTAGAACCATTAAGGCAGCACTGTGTCTTGTAGACTGCAGCCGCAGACATCAATGAGGTATGCATTTCAACATTTCATACTCCACTAAGCACAACTCGGCCAGGAAGAATGATAGGAGCTCAAGCTGTCACATTAGGAAATGGCAAAAGTAATCCAATTTCACGAAATATGGCTTCAAAGCTCTAATCTTTGTTTTGTCGTTCACAAACCTTATTGTCAGATTGGGCAGCGTAGAGAAATCTTTTCTTGAAAACATGTAGAGTTGGAACAAACACATTAAATTGCAAGGTAGTCACAATCTGCAGTAGACAGATCAAGGCACGAAAATCTCATTAGAGTGATGATCAAGTTCAAATTTTAAAATGAACTGGTTGGCTTGTAAATTTACCAAGGCAAAAACTTCTTTTCTACTGTAAGGTCTGTTGAAAATCAGGATGAGAGCATCCATAACAGGCGATGATACTTCTTCATATTTGTAAGCAAAAAGCATGGTTGTAACTCCAACCAGCTAGAGCTAATTCCGCCCAGAGCGGGCTTCCCGTACATCATCAAGAAAACATACAGTAAGTAATCATTAGAATTTGAAGAAATCACAACTACACACATAATCAGTGGCATAATATAAGAAGCAAGAACACGAGCAAGCAATGGGAAATGGGCAAAAACCTAAATGGCACCATGCATTTAAATGCAAGGCATCTTCCAAGTTCCTAGTACTCTCGTAGAAGCTGCCACGTGCCTGATGCGCAGAGTTCATATCCAAATCCAGCTGCGGTCGAAATTTATATGGCAAAAATAACACGGGTAAAAATGAACAAATTGCAGAGGTGGTGAAATTGGCAAAACGAACTAAACAAAAAATATAAAAGGGAAGACCAAAAGCTAACCTTCCCAACTGAATCTACACCCACCATCATTCAGCACAGGCTTGAATTGTGCACAAACCAGGCGCGAAAGACTACAAATAAATCACACACAAAAAGTACAACATTTAAAATCCGACTATAAACAGAAGACCATGAAATTGCACAAGGCTAAAGGGTACCCAACTTCCATGGGGTTTGAGCTTCCCCATTGGAATTTTCAGCGTTGCAGTGCACCTGTATGCTAGTGAAGGGGTTTGCCACTGCCGAACTTCCGGGGCAAAAGCAAACTGCATCCAGATTGGGGATAAATGAAACAAAGCTTGATTATCTATACTTTAGGTGTTGTTGTCATGTATTTTTCCAACGATAACCAACCGAGCACGAAATCAGTTCTCCGTCTTCAGCAAAGAGGCGTAGCTGTCTCAAGTCTTAGCAAACCCATCGCATATGTTCAGACACCTTTGAGATGAGGAGATGGAGCAAGAGATTTCTAAAGCACAAAAAAGAGCACTGGTCATTTTTTTTCTCACCCTCCTCCTTCCTTGATTACTTTGTTCATTTACTGGATTTTAATCCGCAATTTCCAGACAACATAACATTTCTTTAGAAGGGCCTTAGAAAAACCATAATCTCTATCAAATATACAGAATCTATCCAGGGGAAAATCGAATCACCCAATACATGTAAAATTCTAAAGTTACCTAGGCACATTTTCTACTCTGTCAGCAAGTGACGTTGTTGCTGTCCAATGGCTGAGACTTCTTCTTCCTCTTCACTTGGCTGAAAACAAATGAAAAAAAAAACATATAAGAACCGGTCCAAAGAAAGGAGCCATCCAGAATAAAAATAGAACCAAAACCCCAAAAAGAAGAAGCTTATGTATAGAGAGCAGTGGCTACCCCTCGTCGCCTCTGCTGCCTACGGATATCCACACCGGCAACAGCTCTTCCAATATCCTGCCTATTGTTCCGAAGGCAAAAATCCAAAAAAAAAAACCACAAATAAGAATGCAAACCAAAAAAAAAAAATTCCCCAAAAAAAAAAAGCGGCTCTCACTCGTAGCTGGGACCATCACCCCCGTCCATTGCGCGACTTCCGTTCTTTCCGTGGTTTCCAGAAAGAAAAACATAAGAGGGAAGTTCTATCAAGGAAGAGTACAAAGAACTAAGAAAAATCAACAGGAGAGAGAAAGCGATGCAGAGAAATTAGATCAACATCAAAACTGAAAAGAAAAACTTACGATCCAGCCAACCAGTCGTTGAAGGAAGAAAAAAAGAGCAGCAAAAAATCTAGAGAAAAGGCCGGAAAAACAAGAGGGAGAAAAGATAAGAAGCCATCTTGTGCTTGCGCCATGGAGGAAGGATTGGAGGGAGGGAGTTTTCTGGGGAAAGAAGAAGAAGAAGAGAGAGGGAGAGAGAAGCACGTGAGATTGGGGGATAAGGGAAAGAGATGATGGGAAAGAATGACAGAGTTAAATTTGGAATAGGTACCCAAAGTTTCCTACGAACACAAACGAGTCACCCATTGGATGGGACACTAATGAACAGCAGTTTTCAGTCACTGAGAGAGAAGGAGAGAGGGAGAATAATGGATTGGTGAGTTGAAAGAGGAAAAGTGATGGTGAGAGAGAAGGAGAGAGGGAGAGTAATGGATGAAATTAAATGCAATGGGACAGGAGTAGAGAGCTAATTACAAGAGTGCCATTGGTTTGATGGGAGCCGCCTGTACGCGTCAGAGAAAATGTCAGTCAAATACAAGAGGGCAAAAAAAGCAAAAAGAGTAACAGTGGCGGGATGTGACTCTACCAAACAGTAAAGTTGTAACTTGTTCTTTTAAAGAGATAATTTTTGAAGTGAGTTGTACTAATAGAGCGGGGACTTTTTTTGGTTGATTGTCATTTTAAGTTATCACTAGTTCACATTTTACTTGTACGAACTCAATGTTTTCGATATGATAATATTTTCGTTATCATCTATAAAAAAATCAACATATAAACAATAAAATACTTGTCTTTAAACATGACTTTGGATGATTGGAAAACTGCCTGATATCCTATATTCCTAAACCTGATGCTTAAACTTTAAACATAATGGAAAGCTCTTATTAGCATATAGCTCTCGTTATAAAACCAATCCAATTTCTAATGACAATTGTGATGCAAGTGTGAGAGATTGTGTCAGAAAACGACTAGCAGTGGTTGAGTCACGATTCAATGGTGGATGCATCGTCTAAGGCCTAGAAGTACAGATTGATGCGCTTTGGTTTCAGATGGTGAGAGAGATAGGGGGTTCTTCTAAGGGGCATTTCATCAAGCATCTGTTAGACAATAGGCATGGAGCTGGAAGCCTCTTTTTGCAGTGAAATCCATGTTGACTCCCTTTTGTTTCGGGATCAAGATGTGGACAGTAAGAGAGGGGGATTCGATGTAAGGTCGAGATAGTGCTGAAGCGAGAAACCGAGACAATGGAAGAAGAGATTGCTCGATAGCTCGAGTTGTTCGAAAAGTTCATGTTTTCTCAAAGCAAAGGGCGGCAACAGCTCAGGGAAAAGAGCGACAGAGTTTGGCGATGTATGCAATTCAACCGTTGCAGAGGGCGGATCGTCATTCAGTAGTATTGGCGGCATTCTAGAAACCAATTAGCAGGATTTGTGAAGAAACCCATGGATCATGAAGCAATGAATAAAAATAGATGTGAACTAGAAAGAAGATATATGGACGAAGAAAGCAATTTCAATAGGTGGGCTTCCGATGGGTTCTGTCTGATAGAGATATAATTTAGAATAGAACTCATTTCATTCTACAGAAGACTATGCCATCACACCATCACCATTATTTCCCTCCACCACAGCTCTGCTCACGCCAGCTATCCATCTTCAGAGAACCATGTTATAGCTTTAACTCTCCTTTATCTTTTGCCAACTACATATAATAATCTACTTATTTTACTGTCTGAATGTTTGTATATATATAGATAGCTTGTCCTATTGTATCAATTTAACATAAACATATTTCATCAATATAATTACTCTTTACATACTTCCACATGGTATCAGAGCACACAAGCACAAGTGCTCTGATTCCTTAACCTAGCCGCAAATCCAAGCCACACAATCTGCTATTTTTCTTGCTTTTTCTCCTTCATTCTCTTCGACAACAGCAACTTCCAAAAAACCCCCAACTCACCGACCCAAATAGAAAACAACCCCCCCCCCCCAAGCCGGCCGCACATCTTCTCCGACTTCTCCACCGAATTGGGAGATCGATAAAAAAAATCACAATCCTTCCTCTCTATTAATTACCATGTCTGATTCCCCATCAAACGGCGACGACACTGTGGTGCTCCCACTCACCGGCGACGACAATCACGTCGTCTCTCTCAATCCAGCTTCACAGCTACCCACGAAGTTAAACAAAAATAACTTCCCTTAGTGGCGTGCACAGCTGCTAACTCTTCTTCGTGGTCTGGATTTGCTGTCATTTGTTGATGGCACAAAAACAGCACCGGCAGAAGACGCTCCTGGACGCAATCGGTGTATCGTCAAGATCAATTGATCTTACATGCTATATTGTCCTTTGTATCTGATGTGGTGTCTCTCTATATCTCGACATCAATCCCCGCCCGTCAAGCATACTCCATTCTTGAGAGAATGTATGCAGGAAATTCTCGATCTCGGATCATTGGTTTGAAGACCCGGCTTGTGCAAGAAAGACAAGGCAACCGTTCTGTCTCTGCTTTTCTCAGGAGATGAGAATCATCTGCACTGAGCTAGCTCTCGTCCAAGCACCAGTTGCGGATGAAGATCTTGTCCTTAACATTTTACGAGGGCTAAACTCTGAATTTGGCCCTCTCCCTGCTGCCCTTCGTGCTCGTGAGAACCCGATTGATGTTGAAGATCTCCATGACAGGTTGGTGGAGTTTGAAACTGACCTTGATGCCAACCGACACTCTCACACAACAGCCTTTTCTATTCATCGTGGATGTGGTGGTGTACGAGGAGCAGCGCGTGGCCGTGGCTTCTCTCCTTCCAAGCAGCCCTCTCATCAAAAGCAATTTCATCATCCTCAACAAACTGTTCATCGCTAATTTTATCAAGGACAATCACCCTCTTCCCTTCAATCAATTCAGCACCACCAACAACCTTCCCGTGGTAATATCATTGACTTTACTAGTCATCAACAGAGTGTTGGTCGTGGTGGAAGAGTGAGGATCTTTTGTCAGTTCTGTGACAAACCCAAGCACACTGCAAAAGAGTGCTACAGTCTTCATGGACGCCCTCCTGCTCAAGCTTATCACACCTCTGCTGCTCCTTCCATTCCCGGTTGGCTAATGTACTCCGCAGCGACCAACCATATCACCCCAGACCTTGGCAATCTTTCTCTTTACATAGACTACAATGGCCCGGATGAGGTTCTTGTCGGCGACGGAACAGGTTTGAAGATAACATACATTGGAAACTCTACTCTCTATGCATCTGCTGCTTCTTTGCAACTAAAGGATGTTCTTTGTGTTCATGCCATTCAGCAACGTTTACTGTCTGTTGCTAAATTATGTAAAGCTAATCCAGTCTCAGTGGAGTTTTTCTCTGATTGTTTTGTTGTGAAGGACCTGTTCACGGGGGCGCAACTACTCTGGGGACAGAATGAAGGGGATGTGTACGAGCTACCGCCGGATGTAAATACCGTCTGCTTAGCAATTGCCACTACTACAACTTCGGACATCCACATCCTAGGCTGCTCTCTCGTGTCTTGCGCTCTCAAACTCTTCCTGTTTCCATTATTTCGGCTTCATTTTCTTGTGATTCCTGTTTGGTAAACAAAACTCATAAGCTTCCATTTTCAGTGTCTACTTTAAGTAGTTCAAGACCCTTTGATTTGTTATACATGGATGTTTGGGGTCCTTCGCCCATATGCTCCATTGATAATTTTTCATATTACTTGGTCATCATTGATCACTTTTCCCGATACACTTGTCTCTATCCTCTCAAATACAAGTCTGATGTTTCAAACACTTTTATCACTTTCACACGTCTGGTTGAAAACTACTTTCATACTTCTATTCGTCGAGTCTTTACTAATGGTGGGGGTGAATTTCAGAAACTACGATCTTATCTTCAAAATCGAGGCATATCTCATCTTCTTACTGCTCCTCACACCCCGGAGCATAATGGTTTAGCAGAACGCAAATATCGTCATGTTGTTGAAACAAGTCTTACACTCATACATTGTGCACATCTCCCCAGTTCTTTCTGGTCTCACACATTTCAGTCACTCGTGTACCTTATCAACCGTCTTCCATCTACCTCTCTCCATAATCAGACACCATATTTCACTCTTTTTAATGAGTCTCCAAATTATTTTAAACTCAAGAGTTTTGGATGTCTTTGTTATCCGTGGCTACGACCGTACACTTCTCATAAGTTAGCCCCTCGTTCTCGACCATGTATTTTTCTTGGCTACTCCACGAACCAAAGTGCATATAAATGTTTTGATCCAGTTGATTGTCGTGTCTTTGTTTCTCGACATGTTCAGTTTGTCGAAACTACTTTTCCTAGTCTCCCCCTAGTTCTGAATCCTCCTTGTCTTCATCAGAGTGACTTGCCTCCACGAATCCGACTGTGCAGCTTGTCCCTCTTTCGATTTCCACGGCGCCTCACCCTCCCAAACAGCCAACTACTGAAATAGTCTCCTCTTCATCAACACATCGGGGCATCGCTTCTGCTCCTACTCGTACACAACCTACATCACCATCCCCTTCTTCTGCCTCCGAGAAGTCTGCCTCCCCACGGCCAGCTCCTTCACTGCCCACGCCACCACCATCACCTGTTCTCCTTCTGCCCCCCCTCAGCTCCACCTCTTCGGATGGTGACTCGCAGTCAACATGGTATTTTCAAGCCTAAAAAGATGTTTACTGCTCAAGTATCTTCTCATTTTGAGCCTACCTCGGTTAAGCAGGCTATTGCCGATCCTCGTTGGTGTGCCGCCATGCTATAGTAGTTGTCCGCCCACACCTCTAATGGCACTTGGTCACTAGTCCCCCAATCTTCCACTCAAAACCTTGTTGGTTGTCGCTGGATTGTTCGAATAAAGTACAAGGCGGATGGTACCGTTGACCGATATAATGCTCGATTAGTGGCCAAGGGCTTCAATTAACGTCCAGGCATTGATTTTCATGCTGCTTACAGCCCAGTACTTAAACCTGTCACAGTTCGGACAGTGTTCCACATTGCTCTCTCTCACTAATGGCATATCTTCCAGTTTGATGTGAACAATGCCTTTCTCCAAGGCTCTTTAGAGGAGGAAGTCTTCATGGCTCAACCACCAGGGTTTCGCAATACCACAACCCCTGACTTTATGTGCCGTCTCCATCGTCCTATCTATGGACTTCGACAGGCTCCTCACTCGTGGTATTTGTCATTGTGCAGTTTTCTTGAGAGTAATGGCTTCGTCAAAACACAGTCTGATGCGTCCTTATTTGTCTACCATCATGATGGAGTCTTGCTCTACTTCCTTGTCTATGTTGATGATCTTCTTCTCGCAGGGAACGATTCTACTTTGTTCACTCAGTTTCAAGAGCATCTTGCCTCTCGCTTCTCACCAAAACAACTAGGCGAGGTGAATTATTTTTTGGGAATTGAAATCTTATCCGGTCACACTGGTTTTCTCCTATCCCAACAGAAGTATATATATGATGTTCTTGACCGTTTTCAGATAGCTGATGCTAAGCCTTCTCCAACTCCGCTCTCCACGTCAACCAAACTTATGCCTCATGATGGTTCTGCCCTTGTTGATGCCACACTTTAAAGGCAAGTGCTCGGTGCCCTTCAGTACTGCACTCGTCCTGATATCGCATTTGCCGTCAATCAATTATCTCAGTTCATGTCAAGCGTCTCTTGAGGTATCTACAGGGTACTCGTCAGCTTGCTTTACAACTTAGACACTCCTCTTCTCTTACCCTAGAAGCGTTTGTCGATTCTGATTGGGTCGGAGATCTCCACTCCACCATGGGATACCTTATTTATCTTGGAGGTAATCTTATTTCTTGGAAGTCAAAGAAGCAACGCTCTGTTGCCCGCTCTAGCACCGAGGCTGAATATCGAGCTCTTGCCCATGCCTCTGCTAAACTTGAATGGTTGCAAAATCTATTAATTGAGCTTCATCATCGCCCTCCCAATCCTCCTGTCCTCTATTGTGATAATCTTGGTGCAGTAAACTTCTCTGCAAATCCAGTTTTCCACTCGAGGATGAAGCATTTGGCATTAAACCTCCACTTTGTGAGAGAACTTGTGCAATCTGCTCGCCTGCGCGTTTGTCATGTCTCCACCGTTCATCAGCTAGCCGATGCTCTCACTAAACCTCTTTCAACCCCATGTTATCTTCTTCTTCGATCCAAAATTGGTGTCGTTCCCGCCTCCATCTTGCGGGGGCATGATAGAGATATAATTTAGAATATAACCCATATCATTCTACAGAAGATCATGCCATCACACCATCACCATTATTTCCCTCCACCACAGCTCTGTTCACGCCAGCTATCCATCTTCAGAGAACCATGAGATAGCTTTTACTCTCCTTTATCTTCTGCCAACTACATATAATCATCTACTTATTTTACTATATGAATGTATGTATATATAGATAGCTTGTCCTATTGCATCAACTTAACAGAAACAGATTCCATCAATAGAATTACTCTTTACATACTTCCACACTGTCAGGGGCATTTCATCAAACATCTGTTGTGCGGGATAATTGCATGGTTGGTCACTCGAAATATTTAATCCATTGGTGGTACTTCAGTTTACTGAAACCGTTCACGTTTGGTCACTCTCCGTTCAACTCCGTTAACTTTTGCTTACATGGCAATCAACTCTAAAAATTGACCGTTAAATGTGTGACGTGGCAATTAAAAATAAATAAATAAAATTTAATTTAATAAAATTTCCACCTCATTTCTAACTATTAAAAAAAATTATTAAATTAAGAACCAACACCGAGGTCGAGGCCAACGCCGCAAAACCAGAACCACCACCTCATTCTTCATCCTACGGAGGTGGGCCTCTCCTACGTCTCTGATTCCCCTTTCTCCATCCTCATTCATGGTGCTCGTAGACGTTGGTGTTTTTGCTTTCACTCTTCCTCTCCGCTGCGGCGTTAGGTCGACCAGTTTCCTCAATCAACCTCACCACTTCATCCATGGTGGGCCGCATCTCGGGACCCTTCGCCACGCAAGCCAGCGCGATCTGCAACATCTGCACCATATCCTCCTCCACGCTCCGAGCCGACTCAGTCCCCTGCTCTCTTCTTCCTCCCCACGTCAGCAAAAGCCTCCCTTGTTTCTCCCCTTTACAGGCCTCTGTACTCTTATCCAAAACCTCCCTCACCGCAACCCACATCCCGTCGATCAAAACTCTCTTCCTCGTCGGCAACAATTCCCCCATCTTCTCTCTACACCCTTCCAGTCTCTTCAACACGCAGACCAGCTCCACCGATTCCCCGAAACTCAGGCAACTCACCCTGTGCTTGAACTCGTTGACTCGGACCGATACATCGTTAACCGCCGACAGGAAATCTGCCCCTACGAAATTCAAGTTCTCGCCAATTAGCGAATTTTCTTCAGATGCAGGGATTCCGGTTTCCTCCATTAGCCCAACCAGCGAGTCCATCTCCTTCACCAAATCGGAGGTCACCATCGCCGACACTTTCTCTTTCGCTCTGTCTTTATCCGTCGTGCTGGTAGTTGAGCAGAGGAAGAATCCCAGTACCCTCGACGCGTACAACAATTGTTCTAAATACCGCGCATACCTGCAAATAATTCATAATTCATATTCAAAATTGAGTTTTTGAGACGGATAATATCCTTCTAGAGTTGACTGAACCCTAATTCGATTCTGTTAAGGGCAGAGCAAAACCCTAATTTTGTCAATTGAATGTCGAATTGTCAGTTGACTGAACCTCCCCTGTTTTCGTTCTTAATTTAATAATTTTTATCTTTATTTTTTAATAATTAGAAATGAGATGGAAATTTTTAAAAATTAAATTTTATTTATTTAATTATTTTTTAATTGTCACGTCACATATTTAACGGTCAACTTTTAGAGTTGACTGCTACGTAAGCAAAAGTTAACGGAGTTGGACGGAGCGTGACCAAACGTGAACGGTTTCAATAAACTGAAGTACCATCAATTGATTTAAATATTTCGAGTGACCAAACTTAGATTTTTTTTTTATCACAGCAATTAACCTCTGTTGTGCATTGTGCAGTGTGCACTCCCCCACGAAACAATCAAACCACTGCCTGCAACTTCGAAGAGAAAACAATTCTAGTTTGAACAGATAATAACCACACTACTGGTAGCGATTACACAGACTGATTACATGACCGTAGATCTAAATAAACCCTAAAGTTTTCTGGGTAGAGTAGATCGCAAACTACAAGAACCCTAGAAGCAAACGAGATCATAGTAGTCTTCTATTCGAAACTAGAACATATACTTAATACTAATTAGATTGCTTCCCACTACAAGTAACACAAAGAGCGGGTGAGAAGAGTACTAGTTGATCAATTTCTTCGAGAGCTCTGATTCCACGGTTCCTTTCGCCGCCGGTGGGTGCTGCTCACGATCGCGGTCGGCCTTCTGAAGACTCTCCAAGAAGAAGTTCACGCAAACACAGAAGACTGCCCCTACCCAAACAGCCCAAAACAGAAACAGGAAAAGTAAGATTACAAAGATCAACGACGTCGGCCGAAGACAATGAATCGATGAACAGAGCGACCGAAGCAGAAAGAGCGGTTACTCACAACAGCAAGGAGAGCGAAAGGAACCCCATCAGGAGAATTCCCAGTGACGCGGAGGACGCAGATCAGGGTAATCAGCTTGAGGAGCTCAAGAGAAAACCCCTTTAGGAATCCCATAACTCCTGACCGTTGCTGCTGCTGAACGAAGAAGAAGATGGCGATTTCTCTATCGGCGATGAAGGGAAAATGCTGGAAACCTTTTTCACTCGCTCGATTTGCTTTGGAAATTTCGCAACAGACTAGAAGCAAACCCCCGAATTTGAACCCAGCGGAAAGTCTGAAAAATGCAGTTCGCATATATAGGTAACACAACTAATGGGCCGGCCTGCTAAATACTGGGCCCGTGGCCCGACTCATGATGATCGACCCTCCACTCCAAACTCTTTAGCAAAAATGTTAAATGGGCCGGATTATGGGTTCAGATACTTAGGACGTAGGAGATGGCAAATTTAGGATTCTTGTGTTCTCTCTAGCCATTGATCGATCAATTCCCCAACTAGAAAGGTGTAGTTGCAAGCAAACTCCATCGATGAAGACAGGAAAAAAAGAAAGAAAAATATGGTTCATGATCGATGATGATCGTGAATTAACTTATATGACATTTCCCTATTTGCAACTCTACTATACTATCAGCCTACCAATAAAACTGACAATTTCTCTTTTCATAATATTTGGATGACAATAGTTCTTATTCAATTGTAAGCAAACCCTCTATTGCAAACTTACAAAGGAAAGGTAGAAGAAAATGAAAGCCTAATGTTGGGTATTGTTGTTGGAAGAGAAAAAGTGCACACTGTAGATGAATATCAATGTAAAGAAATGGGTTATAGAAGTTCCTTGAATATGTAGATAACAACAAAGATGAATTGGGGAAAATGAAACCCTAAAGTCTTGGATGTTTCTCATTCATAGTTGGGTTTAAATACTCAAGTTTGGTACTATAAGACAAATCGTAGCAGCTTGCTTTTGGAGAACAATAAACATAAAACAAACATAACAACTCATACTAAAGTCTAAACATTGACAATAAACTAAACTTGATGATAGATTCCTCTAAACCTTGTCGATCCACTTTGACATTCATGGTCACCGGTTTGAGTCTTGACGATCTTTCAATATCTCCTGTTATCCCCCCCCCCCCCCCCCCCCCCCCCCGCGCCGCAAGCGGGTGAGCACAGAATGTGCACACCAAGCCACTATTGGCTAGTTAACTTCCCTTCAAACTTCAAATGGTGAAGCTGCTACATCTTGCTAGCTAACTTCCTAAACATCTTCTGAAAAGCTTTACCAGGGTTTTCAATGTGGATATGATATGTTGCAGCTTTGTTGCTAGCTAACATTCCTTCCAAGAAACAAACCTTGAAGTCAGCAGGGGAGAGTACTGTTCGACTACTACCCTCTGCTTCTCCAAATAGATGAGGATATGCTGCTGCTTTTTGAGCTAACTAGCATTCCAAAAAATTACTTCAAACTCAACAAGGAGCCCTTTTGGGTGTCTTCCCTCTGCTTCTTCAAACAAGGATGTCGCTGCAATATGGCTAGTTGGCTGTCCTTCTCATCTCCAGCTTTTACTGGGCCTTCAAAGTGGTCCGGAAATGCTGCTGACTTTGCTAGCTAGCACTCCATCCGATAAACAATATGAAATCAGCAGGGGAGTGCTCTGTTGGCTACTTCCCGCTGCTCGGTGGCGGATCCAGGGCTGGGCCAACCCAGGCCCCTGCCCAGCCCTCCTCCGGATCCAGAGTTAGTTTAGTGCTTATAAAATTTTTGATTTAGGTATTTGGCCCAGTGCTATTTAAAATTATGTCTAGTTTTATTTGATAATGAAATTTTGTGTAACTAGGAAAATGGTTCAGATGAACATATCCAAACCATTACTCTAAATTTATACTAAATTTTCTATAGCCCCAATGATTTTATTTGAAAAAAGACATGAAAACCTAAAAGTGTAAAGTTTCATTAAAAAAAAACTCTAAACTAAAGCACACCCTTCCTTGCAAAATTCAAAAATTTTCCCAATCCCCCCAAAACAAAACTAGAACGAGGAGACGAGCAGATCCAAAATGGATTTCTCCTCTAGCCCGTCGAGCTGGTTTTCTTTCCATTCTTTTGATTAAAAAAATATTTACAGACTTGCTGAGTCATCATTTAGATTGCCTCAATTGAGTGGGCCACTAGATTCTAACCGTTCTTTCTGGTGTTTTGATGAAGAAAATATTTACAAACTTGCTCAAGAGTTTAGCCTCGAGACTTTGAAGGCTATGAGATGCATTCTTTGGAGAATGCACTACTCATGTGAGGATGAAGTTTCTTTTCTTGCAAAATTATTAGAGAAGCTAGAGGAAACAGGGATGAACACATAATACAAATTGATTTGTCGGTTGATTTGTCTAATGTTGACCTAGCCGTTTCTACAACTACCACGAAGATAATATTCTCAGCAATGGAACAACAAAATGAGCGATGAATTTCTCGTTGATTACTTAGCTATTTTCTTTGAAAAAGAATATATTATCAGTGTGGATGGAGATTATATTATTGATGAATTTGCTAAATTAAAATACCTTTTTGTACAATTGGCATTGTAATAAAAACTATATTATTATATATTTTTGTTTATGGTATCTAATATTCTATTCAAATACGGCCCAGTGTTCTCTTATGTCCTGGATCCGCCGCTGCCGCTGCTTCTCCAATATGCCGCTACTTCTTTAGCTAGCAAGCATTCCAGAAAAAAAAAATTGACTTCAAACTCAACAGGGGAGTAAGCTTCTTCCCTCTACTGCATCATCTCAGGCTGCTGCCTTCACTTCCTCTTGCTGAATCACAGAAACAAGGACTTGTGATTGTGACTGCTTCTGCTGAAACACTGCTTTTTCTATTCTGATTGTTTTTTTTAAGTGTTGCCCCTGAACTTGCAGCTTCTCTTTCTTCTTGATTTTCTATGAACTCAACACTAGAAAATGGAGGTTCTAGCTGTGCAGGAGGTTTCATTGGCTTCTACTTCCCGCACAGCCACGAAATTCAACACATCAGAATTCAAACATTTGATTTCTTCTTCAAAAGAATCAATCTTAACAATCTGTTCATTCTTCTTGGTTGCAATCTCGTTATCATTCAACCAAGTTTCTTCTTCCTCCAAACAACCAACATTGACATTCTCAGTTTCAAGAAACTCACCTTCCCCTTCTCGGTATTTTCTTGTGATTGTGAAAACCCTTTTCTTATGCTCTGTAATCATCCTCCGCCTCAAGCTCTCGAAACTGAACATAAAAGCTTCCAGCTTCTTCCGCAGGGATTTGACGGCTCTGTGCGCGGTAGAAAGCTTCTTCACGGGCAGGGTAGTGTAGGGTGACGACCCTATTTGTGGTGCTTCAGCAGCTGCGTATCTTGTAGCGAGCCAGGTGTGGAGGAGGTCGTCCTTGTGCATAACTTTGAACTATGACTGAAAGGAGGAAACCAACAGGGAAGATCGACCAGAACAAGATTCCGGATTTGAGTCGTCGGGCCTTCTTTTCTCTTCTTCTTCGTCCGACTTGACCAGCGGGGATGGATTCTCCTTCGTTGGGCTTGTCTTGGTCATGGCGACGACGATTGATGAAGCGGAGAGCTGGTGGCGGGCCTTGCCGTGATGATTCAGAACGGCGGCTGGAGCTCGCTGCAACAGATCTGTCGGCTTGAGCGAAACTCGTGGTCGCCGGTTTTTAGATTTAGGGGTTTTGGTTTTAGGGATTGGGGTTTCCGATCTAGAAAAGTTGGAGAAGAGATGGATCTTGAGATGGTGAGGGTTTTGGGAAGGGAATGGCTTTCGATTTTGGTTTTGGGGAAGATGGGAAAAGTAGATCTGAGAGTGAGTAAAAGAATGGGTTTTGAAGTTGATTAGGAGGGATACGATGAACAGAGGGATGTGAGACAAATGGGGAAGGGGCCTATTTTTTTGTTTCTGTTTCTTCTAGGGAAGAGATGAACAACAACACTGCTGGGATTTTTGGTAACAGATGGGGGAATGGATTTTTCTCGACGACTGCGAAATGGGGTTTTGGGGTTTTGGCGAGAAAGTTTTGGGAAAGCAGGAATGGATCTCGATTGGGAACAAAATTGATCTGCTGGGTCGCGATGGATTAGGGGGAAGAAATGTAACTGAGGAGGAGGGATATTTTTTATTTTTAGGGTTTGTGATCTGAAATTTTCAGATCTTGGACATAGTCCTTATTTTTTGTGGGTTGAAGGTTTTTAGGGTTCTATAGGATTTAGAGGCTCTGATACCATTACAACAAAGATGAGTTGGGGAAAATGAAACCCTAAAGTCTTGGGTGTTTCTCATTCATAGTTGGGTTTAAATACTCAAACTTGATACTACAAGGCAAATCGTACCAGCTTGCTTTTGGAGAACAATAAACATAAAACAAACATAACAACTCATACTAAAGTCTAAACATTGACAATAAACTAAACTTGATGATAGCTTCCTCTACTATATGCACATGTTAAAAACTTTTACTAACATTTATATCAAGTACATATAATGAATTCTTCCTAATTTTTACGCATGCTCTTCAAAGAGTTCACAAAATCTTGTCGTATGAATTTTATTTTTAAATTTACGATTTAAAACACGCAAAAGTAACATCTTATACTTATACATGATATATTAATCGATGTTAAATATCAAACACTAGGTTTGAATCACATGTACTAAGTAAGATGTTCCTTATTAAAAACTGAACGCATGCCATGGAATATTATCCATTGTTGGTGCAATAAACCAAAACAACACTTCGAATCAGGATCATTGTAAAGATTAAACCCTAGTGGTTACCTTGTTTGATAAATAATTTAAAGAATAAAGGGTACCTGTCAAAGACAAAGTTTTGGCTGATAGAAAAAACAATCATTCCCCTCTGTAGCACCATGCCGACGCCGCCGTAACCTCGTCTCCCTCATCAAATTATTTTTATGTCCGCATATTGCAATTCCTTACCCCTCTGCTTCTCCGACCCATTGTCGGGAGCCGCCGGTAGTCGTCCACTTGGTTTCCAAGATTTGTCTGGATATGAGTCGCCATATCTCTCTGTATTGTTCCTTGCGTCCGCTTGCCACTTTTGTGGCCGCCAACCGACCTTCGATGAATGTAAGGTTGGAGGAGGTGATAGTTGTTGGGATTTCCCAGGGAAAAAGAAGATAGAACGATGTGCAAATTAGGGTG